AAACGCTGGACCCCCTGGATGTATGTGGACTCCTGTTGAGACCAGATACATCCAGGCGGTCCCCCCCGGATGTATCTGGGGGTTCAGCGTTTTAAGAACGCTGGACCCTCAGGAGCAGAAAATTTGGACGAGTTTTCGGCCAAAAAACTCTGTTTCTATTTCGGTATAAAAAAAAAAAGTCCATTTTGACGAAATGGCAGTTAATTGTTCGTCTTCCCCCTCTCTCTTGTAGGAACATATTCAATGGATCACGGTTGAGTTCCAGCTAAGGGCCTCCCTGCACACCCCACCCCACCCCACCCCACCCCACCCCACCCCTCCCCTCCGCGCCCAAGGGCATCATCGCGACACATACTCTCCCCGAAATGCTTCTCACCTCAGGTGGGTCCAGACTGGCTCGGAAGGGTTAGTGCCGTGCAATGGTGAGCTCACCCTGTCTTGGTCCAGCGAAGCTTGCAAATGCTTGACTTTCAGGTGAGTGCAAGCTGACAACGGGGTCCAGACTGCATCACTTCAGTTAGGACTGTCACCTACCGTGATAACTGTGGAAGAGGATCCCCCACCGACTACATCCTGCAGACTAGCTAAACCTCTTTGGGGTCGAGTGCTCACCCTAGGGTACGGTTTTGACAGCGTTTCTGAAGGTGTGGCAAGGCCCTCACCCAGCCCCCTTTCCTGGATTCCTGCAGACTAGCTAAACCTCTTTGGGGTCGAGTGCTCACCCCTACTGTTTCTGAAGGACTGTCAGATGAGGGCGGTGGGTGAGGGCCTTGGCACACCACTCCGGAATCCAGAAAAGAATTTGGGAGTGCTGCCTACTCGCATAATTCCATAACTGCCGATCGATAGATAGTGCCCTTCGCTGCACTCGCTCTCCGGATTCCACATTGAAAAAGACTGCTTTGGAAGCGGAGTGTGGCAAAGGCTGCACTCTCGAAATCCTGAATGTGGCCAGTGAAGTAGACCGGGGGGATCTTCGAGTTCAAGAACAGACCATAACACTACACGTCATTCCTGTCCCAGAGGTCTCCCGACTTCGGCTTGTTGCAGGTTGGGGCTGGAAGGAAGTTCCAGGGTACTCTCAAACCACTTCTCGAAGTTCTCAGCAGTCCACTCTGACAGCTCCCAATTTTGTTTTTTAGGAGAGGGAGTAGCCAGTATGTGGGGCTGGCCACAACACTGTCGAAAACACTATTTTCGATAGTTTCTATAGTTTCTCTTGGCCACACAGCCCGTCGAAATTAAAGACGGGAAGAAAATGCGCAAGTTGTCAGAGGTTGCTTTTCAAGTTTTTTCAACGGTCCTCGGCTGCGGCATCTGACTTCTCCTCGAAATTTGGTGAGGGGGTGTGAGGTCGGATGCACTAATGCTTGTCTTCCTCTCAGGCGCGTTCGTCTTTTTCCATCTTGCCTTCACAAGTGCGTCCACTCTACAGTGGTGTGTAGCTAAGGGCCTCGCCACGCCACAGTCGAAAGGCCGAAAAATTCGACGGCTGTCCGAACAAATTCAACAGCCTCCATTCTACAGTTTGCCCCCTCTTTGCCACACAGCACTGTAGAGTGCACGCACTTGTGAAAGCAAGATGGAAAAAGACGAACGCCCCTGAGGGTACGACAAGCATCAGTCCATCCCAACCTTACCCCCACTCACCAAATTTTGAAGCGAAGTAGAAGGCGCAGCAGAGGAGTGTCGAAAGCATCTTAGTAGCAGTAGCAGGCTGGGTGGGGATTCAAGAACTTTCGACAGGAGGTGTCGAGAAGCATTCTCTGACAACTTGCGAATTTTCTTCCGGTCTCCGACTTCGACAGCCTGCGTGGCGAAGAAGAACTGTCGAAAATCAGATTTTCTACAGTGGTGCGGCTAGGCCCCAAAGGGGGGCAAACTGTAGAAGGGAGGCTGTCGAATTTATTCTGACAGCGGTCGAATATTTTTTCCTTTCGACAGTGTTGTGGAGAGCCCCTGTGTGGCCATGCTTGCACTCCCGAAAACACGCATTTCAGAAGTGGTGTGGCAAGACCCCGAATCACCCAGAAACGGGTTGGAGGGAGTAGTGCAGATATGCCCAAAAACATTTCTTCTGTAACGGTTCTTTCGATTGCTCTTCGTTTTCCCCTTCTCTCCGGGGCGGAGGGTGGAGAGTGTCACTGAAACTAGGAACAGTGAACAATGTTCCAATCGGCCGCCTAAGGCCAGTGTCAGGCCGAGTAGGCCTGTGCAGGAGCATAGGATAGGCGATTAAGGGCCTCGCCACACCACTGTAGAAACATCACGAAATTCGACATATGTAAGGAGATTTTCGACATTCCCTCTTTAGACATAAAACCCCTCTTCCCCACACCGCATGTGCAACTGAAGAACTCACGAGTCGAATGCACAAACGAGACAAACTGGGGTGAAGATAGGACAAGCGTTGGTGCGTTCTCTTTTTCGACATTCGGGCAAGAATTCGACATCCCATCCGAGGACTGTTCAAAATGTGCAAGTTGCAGGCCTGAAGTGGAACGAGCCCTTCTCCAGAGAGAGGAGGTGTCGAAACCCTTTCCATGATAGCTCCTGATTTTTTTTTGCATCTTGGATCTGTACATGCTATGTGGCGAGGAGAAAATGTCGAAATTCAGTTTTCGACATTGGTGTGGCGAGGCCCTAAGTAGTTTACACTAGAGCTGTTACAGAGGGGAACTTGAATATAGATAGCCCGGAATAGATCTTACTTTGGGTTCTTGGTGGAAGTTGTTGAAGTGCGTTAGCAAGAATTTTGTTGTTACCTGGACACTCGAGAGATCTGATTGGTCTCTCAGCCCTGATGGCCGTAGGCTAAACTGGCTGATGCTGCCAGAGTGACTCCGGGTTGAATTGTGAGGACCCCCGCCTCAGGATTTCAGTTTGAAATATATGGTACATGTGTTGAGAGTGTAATTAAAAAAAAAAAAAAAAAAGGAATATCATTTTCTAAATAACAGGTGCCAGTTAAATTCAGACTTAATTCACTCAACTGATTCCACATAGACTGAAGATGAGGTCTGCATTTCAACAGTTCGCTCAGAGCTAGGCCAGTCGGTGCTCTCTTCATAATTGCTCTGGGTTGGAAAGGACGAATCCCACTTGCGGATTCTGTCTACCACTTGACGACCAGCACAAAAGTCGTTATAGGCGAGAGAACGTAGCAGTAAAGACAGGTGGTTGAGAGAAGAATATAGCTTAGTTTCAAAAAAACGTAAGAAAGTCGCGACAGACGCACTAATTCGGACGGGGCATGCCGGTCCCTAAAGCCTAGAAGCACCAGCGCAAACGTTTGGACATCATCGAGGCTTAAAGGGTTTCCCCTTTGAAGGGGTCTTGATGGCAGAATGTCCAATTGTACGTTGCCGGCACATTAGGTAGGTCTATAGAGCGAGCTGGCGGGCGGGCGGGAGATAGAGATAGATAGATAGAGAGAGAGAGAGAGAGAGAGAGAGAGAGAGAGAGAGAGAGAGAGAGAGAGAGAGAGA